CACCAACAACAAAGCAACAGCAGCAACAACAGCGATTATGATAAGGACAACCATAGCAGCTGGAGCAGCAGCAACAACAGCAGCAGCAACAGTGAGACTGACACTGACGGTGACAATGAACATGACACTGGCGGCAGCAGCGGCAACAGCAGCAGCATCATCAACATCATCAACAACAACGACAACAACCGCAACAGCAACAACATAAACAACAGCAGCAACAGCAACAGCAACAGCAACAGCAACAGCAACAGCAGCAGCAGCAGCAGCAGCAGCAGCGACAGCAACAGCGACAACGACCACGGCAAACACAACAACAACAACAACAACAACAACAACAACAACAACACCAACACCAACAACACCAACAACACCACCAACACCACCACCACCAACAACAACAACAACACCAACAACAACAACAACAACAAACAACACCAACAACAACAACAACAACAACAATTTTGCAATTGGACGCAGTGCGAGCGTACTCTGCACATCGCGGGCATTTGCCGCTGTTGCACTCTCTAGGCTGTTACTTTCAGACAGTGAAACCGAAGCAAGACAGCAAGACAGGACAGAGGACAGGAACTTCAATAACTAAGCCTCTCAGACTTGAGTACAAAAGCCCACTCACTTTGTACAGCCTTTGGCAGCTGACACGGTCGCTGCGTACCTGTGACAGCGTGGCGTGTGGTCGTGGAACGACCTGAAGTAGCGCGCAGGCGAACTGGTATGCAGATGGCCAGCTCTTTTCCAGTTCAGCGATGCAGGATACACGCAAAGGAAGAAGCTGTTCACGGCGGCTAAAAGGGGGTTGGCCGAGCCACCGAGTTTGCTAAAAGAACGGCCCAAGGCCCCGAGATGCCTGCAAAGACTACTTGTCCCATCGCCAGGAGCTGGAGGAGGAGGAGTGCCAGTCCGTAGAGCTCCACCACGAGTTGTCGTCCCAATGCTGACGAGAACTGGCGTTGTCCTCCTTCTTCCTCTTGTCAGAGACCGGGCCTGTGTCCTCTGAGTGACGTTTATCCACCAGCTTAGGGCGAAGTAGCCGTAGCTTGGCCGGAGTGTCGCCGACATGATGATCGATGCGCATCTTCCGAACCTGCTCTCCATCCTTCTGCATGTAGATGATGAGCCTATTGATAAGCCCGCACGAACGGCACGTTTGGTCGTAGATGGCCTTGACGGTAGAAGCAACTATCTCGAAGTTGTCGTCCGTTTCCAAGGTCTCGTGCATCTCGGCTTGGTCCCACAGCTTTTTGAACAAAGCGGCAATGACGCCAAAATATGACGTGATCTTCGGGAGCACACGGTAGGTGGAGCCTTCACCAATGGCTATGGTGAGGAGCCCGTCCGTGCCCATGATAGGGCGAGCTGTCATGGCCTCCGCCCATGTGGTATTCTCAATCGTCTTGCACAGATTGAGCGGAGCAAAGATCCAGGGTGGCTTTTTGAGCATGCGTATCCTGTCCTGCCAAACCTTGAGCTGCTCGGAGACCTTGAGGCCGCCAAGTACGGCCTTCTCGTTAATAACCAAGATGGTGGCCAGAGCATGTATCCAAGTGAACATCTCATCTGATTGACAGATTTGAATAATCTTGTCTCGCTTAGGCAGTGCATTTTCTTGATCCTCAAATGATGGCCCTGGTACTGGGTCGACCATAGCGTGAATGGTGACGGGGCCCTGGTACTTGACCGCTGCCATGTTGTCCACCTCCACAGGCTGTTCCCAGGGTGGCGGGCCGTCGCTGGAATTCGAGTCAGAGGCCACAGACATAGCCGGCCCTGACGGTTGCTCCTCTTCAGCCAGCTGAAAGGCGTTGAACTTGCGGCGGTTGGGTGGCGGGTCTGCGGGCGAGGCAGGGGAGGTGGGAGAGTGCTGTGCTTCCGGAGGGGGCTGCGTGTTGAGCTGTGGAGGCGGAGACTTGGATTTCGGAGGGCCGTGGTTGTGGTAGCCCGAGGCTCCGCGGTGGAAGTTGTGGAAGCCCGAGGCTCCGTTGGAGGTGCGTGTCCTGCTGGAATCGGGGGCATGCCAAGTGCGAAGCGTGCCCTGGCCACACTGGAGGGGGGAGCTGGAGGGGGAGGGGCATCCTGAGTGGGTGTTGGAGGGGCAGGAGCGTCCCCTGTGAGCACGTCAGCACTGCCCGGTGGGGGAGGAGACGTAGCTGGGTTATGAACTCCTCCGCGTGCAAAGTGATGCTTCACCCCTATGTCATTGGGGAACTCATAGAGCTTGTTTCCACGTCGGCAATGACGACAGGAGAGCCACCCTGGCTTCGCTGGGTGTAGGATAAGGCCCCGGGGGATGCAGCGCATGACGTCCTCAGCGGAGATGTCGCCGTAGTGTTGCTCGTTCTTGACGGCCTCCATGATCTCCTCAAAACTGTTGTTGGTGATGCTGACCTGGACGTCGTCACTGATGAGTTCTCCCCCGGGCAAAGCCCCCTCCTCGTCTGGTCCAAGGGCACGCCGAGCGTCCATTGCGTCGGCCACCGCCTGCGGAAGACCTTGCAACATGGTGGTGGCTCTGCGTTCGCTGGCGCACGGGTCGCCCTTGAAGCCTTTCTGCCACTCCCAGCAACGTGTGTAGGCCACGGTGGTGTTGTTCGCTGTGACAAAGTAATGACCGTCGTTGCCCATGTCGCCTTTTTTCTTCAATTGGTGACTGTGCATTTCCTGCAGGAGGTAAACAGGGCCATATGTCGGAGAGATGTTCCAGCCGACTTGGGGATCCTCTTTCATGTCGTCACGCAGGAATCGCCGCAAGGCCTTGCAGAAGATCATGTACTCAAGGTTGGCGATCTTGGAGCAGATTTCTTTGGCAAAGGCGTGCGCGATGGCATGCATGAAGAGAGGATGCTTGGGTTGGCCGTAGATGATGCCCTGGAAAATGTGATCCCTCTTGACTCCGATCGCCATCAGGAGAAACTCAGGTGGGAGCTTACCCTCCTGAGTTGGACCAAGTCCCCGCTCCTGGCATAAGTCTGTCTGGGCCAAGCCCCAATCCCGTGCCATGGTCTCCAGCAGATAGTCAAAGTCGACCTTGAAGCCGAATTTGATGTCGATGTAGTGGGCCGGCTGCTTGATGTTGGAGCACAGATGGGCCCCGTGTTCACCTGCATGTAGAGTGAGCGTGGTAAAGAGGGCCTCGTCGTTGCAAAAAGTGCGCTGAAAATCAGAGAGGCGCTGTTGGAAAACATCTCGCGGCCCTGGCATGTCGTCGTGGATGTAGGTCTGGAAGGCTGTTCGGGGCATAGGTCTGTCCATTGCCCCTGGCTCCAAGAACCTGCGTAGAACCCAGGGCTTGTGCGAATGGCGCGCGGCAATGGAGCCGATTTCTTGCAGGGTTCTTGCCTGGCACAGCTCGGCCGTAGCATGCATCTCCTGGTGGACCGAGTCCCCTTTAACATTCCAAGAGCAAACCACCAAAATGTGAACCGAGTGAGGGCGGCTGCGCGTCATCGCTGCGCGAGCCCGGCCCAACAGCAAGCCGATGGCCTTGGCTGCAATGGTCGGCCTGAAGTGGCAATCTCTGGAAGTGTAGAGCTGGTCCACCAGACCCGGGTCGTTGCCCTGTAGTGACATGATGGTTTGGTCGGAGAGGTCATCGGCAGCTAGTCCATATTGATCTCTGACATCCGCCAGCCAGTCGTAAGCTCCCTGCTTTTCGGGGTTCAAAGACTGGCGAAGAGGTATCAGGCGAACGTAGACGTCTGAGTAATAATACTTTTTGAGGAGCGCGATCAGCGGTGCATGATCGGTTGGGAATGGCTCCTCGTGGCCCAGCACGCGGATGAAGTGCCACGCCAGGACTTCAAGGACCGGTGGTGTGCGAACCGGCCCGTCGCGGGGCATAATGAGAGATGCGCCCGGGCAGATTATCGCCTGGTGAAGGCGGTTTCTGTCCACCGTCTCGACCCCATATGACTTTCCAGAGCCGTCCATCCATAGGAGGTACTGGAGGGTGCTGTCGCTCAGGACGAGGAACGGCATCGCGGCTGTCTGGGCAGCCGACATTGCTGGACAGCGGCCCGTAGGCAGGCCAAGCCTCCTCCGCTGTGTTGGTGAGCAGAGCTCCCGATGTTTTGAAATTCGCAAGCGGGTATCGGATGTACCAAGGCCCGCGTTGTCAAAACCTAGCCTAGCCCTTGAAGCTGTGAAGACTGAGAGCACGTTGCAGGAAGATGATGCTGCAGAGCGTAAGTGCGTGGCCTGCTTGAGCCTGCGTAGCTTAGAAGGATTTGTTTTGCTCGGCAAGTGGCTGCCAGAAGCAACATGAAGCACAAATGCAGCCTCTAAGCGCATGCACCCGTCTACTGACAAAGCTGGCGGGGCACTGTGCCGGCCGAAGGCGGCGACGCAGCCAGCAGCGCTGCCAGGCCTTAGAGTTTCACGGTTTCACGCACAGACCAAGTCAACAACATCTGCCGGAGAAAAGCGTTCTGCTGGCCGGTCGGCGTTTTGGCTGCTCAGGAATTCGAACTGATCCCGTTTGCGCCATCTAGCGGCCGCCTCAATTGCCCCAAGGGCCCGCTGCAGAAGGAAGCGGGCAAAGCCCCCGAGACTAATGTCACTTATGAAATTAAACTGGGGATGCGCTTGACGCCGCCTCCTCCAAGATGACCTGACCATCTTTGTACAGAGAGAAGCCCAATGAACGGAGTATGTTGCGCGTTCCCAGTGGTAGCCGCTCCGCGCCGCTAACATGAAAAGAGCCCAAGATCAGGCGACAGCCCGACCATGGGAGAATGGAGTGCCGCTTGTGGGCATCAAACGCCAAAAAGGGGAGAGTGATGGGATGAATGTGTCCCCGAATGTTGTTCTGTACGTCCAGGCAGACGTCACCCTCGTCAGATTCCACGAAGAGCTGGCCACCAGTAAACACCGAGAGGGGGATCAAGACATTCGGGACGTCCTTGTGATTGTGAGGATCGGAGTGCAGTCCCATTGCCCTGTTCCGGGCCAAGAACACCGTAGAGTGACTATAGGCCCCGCGCAGTGTGTAAAGCACCGCGTTCAGCAGGCGACTGACCCTGCGAGTAAGCCCCAAAGAAAATGCTCTTGTAGTTCGGCGGCTGCTCGATGCTTGGAGAGGAGTGCCTCGAATCTTGTAGCGAGGGGAGGCCGTCCAGGAGTCGACTGAAGACCCCAAGTGGAGCCCACTTTGAGTGCAGACAGCTCGTTGCCAGATTCTCAGTAGGACACAGAGTGAAGGGGTTGTCGGTGATGTCCATGAGAGGAGGTAGCAGGAGCTTGATGCCAGCCTCGTGGGGGCTCGCGTCGAGCTTCAGAGCCGTTGCAACCGATTCTTGGCGCTGCTTGTCCAGCTCAGAAGGAGTCGGGGACGTTTTGGCCGGGCTGGGACCCGGCTCCTCTTGGCGTTGTCTCTTTGCAGACCGAGTCTCCGCTGGGGGTGCTGCTGGCCAAGAGGGAGATTCCAAGTCGATGGCCGAGCGACCAGCAGGGTGCGGCCGAAGATGCCACATGTGTCCAACCACCAGCTAGGACTAGGCAAGCACTCCAATAGAAAAGGCTGCGACATGCCAATACAGACAGGAACAAGTCTGACCGACCTCCCGGCACATGAGACTTGATAACGCCGCTTGGCTTCTTTTTGGCCTCGTACAGTGCCTCGAGACTTGGTGGCAGGGTGCTGTTTGGCCAGCTTTCCGAGCCAGTCGAGAGCCGAGAAAAGCGACTAGCGCCAGGAAAAAGAGGGCGACCCTGCAGGCAATGCAGCAGTTAGTCGTCCTGTGCCATTGGCTGGTCAGCTGCCTCAGACGCCGAGCCCGGGGCTGTAGAGGAGGCGTCATTGCGAGCAGCGATGAGGAGCTCCTCGGACACCTCCCACAAAATGTCTGAAGTTGTCCGAAGCAAGGACTGATGGGTGTGTGAGGGCATCGACTGCTCCATGTCCTGGGCAAAGCTGATGGCACCGCTAAGGTTGGCCGCCGCAGCGCGGATTGCATTCTGCACAGGAGCAGAAAAGACTGCTTGCGCTGGTACTTGTGCTCCAGGCGGGGGCGCTCCTTGGTCGACGATTGCACTCTTGTCTGGTATCCCCGAAGATGGGGCGTCCTGGCCGGCTCCCCATATGCCCGGCAGACGTTCTGCCGGAACCGTAGGTGGGTGGGCCAAGCCCCCGTCGGATTGCAAAGCAGTAGTCCAAGACTCCGCGGGCTCGAGGGGAGCAGGAGGAGGAGGGGGGGATTGGAGGGGACAAGATAGCCATCTTGGTTAGAATAGGCCTGCCACGGGAAGATCTCTTGAAAGATGGTCCGGGCAAAGCGGCCGCAAGTCTTCAACTGACATTTGGGCGCCGAGATAGCCGATCTCTCCCAGCTTCCCGTGCCCTGCATCCCTTCGCCGGCGACGCCCTCCGGTACCAGTGTGCCATTGGAGTTGCCAAATTTGGAAGCCGGTGAGGTGAAGGTCGCCGTGTCAGACTTAACCTCGCCATTGGACTTCCACAATGAGGCGTGCAAAGTGACAGTAGGGGAGATGGCTGAGTCCTGCCAGGATCCCGGTGGAAACGGAGACGTGGGGCCAGGTGGGCGGGGCCAAGTGTCGCGCTCCAGCCATGTGCGAAGCTCCTTGTCGAGGTGTGAGGGCAGGGAGGTTTCCCTGTCCGAGTGCTTCCGCTTGGAAGGTTCAGGGCCAATGTGCAGCTGCTTGAGGATGGTGCGAGCCAGACGGTAGTAGTCGCTGTTTGCGGTCCGTATCGGATCCGGCGGCGACTCGAGCGTTGGAGGGCGATTCGTTACGCCACCGTAGCCCGAGGCTCCGTATCCGAGATGGAGGGGGTAGACCGAGTCTCCAGTGCAGCCTGAGTAGTCGATGAGGACAAAGCAGGCCGGGTCCGACCTGAGCATCACGTTGTCGGCGTGAATGTCCGCATGTACGATGTGAGCTTTGTGTAGCATTTCCAAAGGCCGCGCTGATGTCGTACTTGAGCCGGATGACCTCCATCGTTCGAAGTGCACCTCGAGGAACTGGCCAGAGCCTTGGCATCAAAGAGCGGCGGCCACTCGTGGCAAAAATAGTGGTAATGACCGAAAGGGCAGGTACTCTTCGCAGCCGCGAGAGTTCGCGCTGCCATTCGACTTCATCCTGTTGGCGCACAGTGCGAATGACATAGCGAGGTTCAGATTGGCAGGCGTGGACCTCTGAGGAGTTGCCCTTGCCAATCGCCTGGCCCGCCTCATTTCCTGCCAATAGTGTCCTCAGGACGTCTGCGGGAGGAGATTGAAGTGGGGCTGGGGCCGGCATGCTGGGGTCATCAAGCATGTGCTTAGCCATCTCGTCCAGAACTGCGCGAGCCTCCTTAGCCGGGTCTAGGACTGTCCAGGCTGCCATGGCGTCTATGCTGCTGCGGACTGGCGGGAGATCCAATAAGCTGCCTCAGCAATGGAGCAAGTACTCTGAAGGTAAAGCACGTCGATAAGCCTCGCATTTCTCTCTGTGCTGCAATCTGTTGTGTCGAGGTGGGCAGCACTTGCTGACACCCGAACAAATGAGGTCATGGCCAGAGGCCCCGAAAACGGCGGTACAGAGTCACAGAGTGCACCCTGCTCAGTCCTNNGAACTTGGTCCGAGGCCTCGTTGAGGCCATGGGTGGCGACTTAGTCGGCTTCGGAGGCGAGCCACTTTCGCTGCGAGAAGATTTCGGCTTCGGAGGCGTAGGAGGGCAGGCTCGCCCGGAGGCGAGGAGACCGTTGCCCTGGGCTTTGGCCTGCTCATGCTGTGTTCCATCATCCTGCGTGCCTGATGGCATTCCGTGACCGCGATCGCATGCGTCTTGCCATAGTTTAGCGTAATAGTCCAGGCTATGCGGGAGCACAGGCACGGCTAGGTCTGGTGTGCGCAGTCAAGTTCTACGTGATCAGTCAGCTAGCCTGCGAACCAAGATAGAAATTGAACTAGCAAAGCAGGCACACAGGGCAAGCAGCTACGAGATTTTCTGAACTGGCAGGAACTGTTTGTGCAAGAATCCCGCCTGGCAAAGCGCTGTACAGATGGGCCAAGCCTCCGAGGAAATGGTTAGGTGGCCCGAGGCCCCGTCCGAATTCGGCTGCTTTAGCGATCAGAAGGTTTGCCTCGTGCTTTGCGGACCAAGGCGCCAGGCGCCCGCTTCCCGAGCCGTTCGCCTTCGCAGCCATCCAAGAGGCCAGAGATGAACTCGGACTGCCGAGCCAAAACTGTGTTGAGTACCGGACGAAAGTCCAGAATGACGTGTTCTTTCTTGGCATTCAAGCGGGCGGAGCAGTATGAAACCATGTGCACCAGGCTTTCGTGTAGGTCCGGGCCAAGTTCCTGCACCACTTTCTTGAAGTACTTGTTGTCTGCGCTGCAGAAGTTCTTCGGTGGGTCGTCGAACTTGGTGAGTTCCTTGAGGAGGGACGCAGCCGTGTAGCGCGAACACGACCCCCACGGATGAGATGTGCCGGCCTTGTGCTCTGCCTGCCATTCGCGCACGGCTTTCATGAGGCTGCGCGCGATGGATGAGTCTTCAGGGAACTTAAAGACGATGGAGACCTGATGCTGTAGCATCGCCAGTTGTTCTTCATGAAGCAGGAATCCCTGGGTAAGCTCTTCAGGACTGAGGGCTGTGATCCGGCGAGCTGGGGCCGCCCGAGGCGCCGAGTTGCGATCTCCGTTGCCCCCACTTCCTCGGCCCGAGGCCCCGCGGATGTTGGGGATGGACAGCTGATTGCGCTCCGTCATCTCCTCGTCGGCAGTCACAGGTGAACGACCGCCTCTATGGCGCTTGGCTTCAGGGCTGTTGGGACCTTTAGTCATGCTGTCTTGAACAAAAATGCTGTCGTAGGCCTGCAGACGCTTATAACGTGTTTGGCCTTGACGTGGGGGGGGCCATGGCCACTTATAGTGGGGTCCG